GGACACTTGCCGTGGCTCTGCCTGAGCTGGGCGGCTGCAGGTGGGTGGGCGGGGAGCCTTCCTTGGAGTCCTGCCAGTCCTTTATCAGAGCGCAGCCTTCTGCATCATTTATGCCAAAGAACATTGCAGCACAGAACTCGTTCTCCTGGGAGGCGGCCCTTCAAAATTACGGGTGGGTACAATATTCCAACTTTTGAAACACAGGGTCTGCCTTCATTCGATGCCAATAAAACTATAGGCCTGTCACCCTCGGGCTATCGTTTCTGCAGCCACTACTAAGGGAGAGCTGGCTTCCTCGTCAGCTTTGTTTGTTCTGACCCCAGCCTTGTCCGAGCAGCCCCCGTGCTGGCCACGGGGACCCAGCAGTGAGAACTGTGTCCCCAGAGAGTTGACACCACCGTGCTCAAAACCATCACCATGTAGTCGCCCTGCTAGGTCCAGGGTCAGTAGGTCTGTTGACCCGAAAAATACCCAGTGTAGCCTTTCATTGTACATTTCATAATGGGACTCTGAAATAATTCCATATCCGCAAGGGTTTCTGCCTCAGTAAGGAGCTTGCTGAGCGGCTCTGTCTCTGGGGTGAGGACTCACACAGGAAGAGTTAAAGGACACGCGATCCACTTTCTTCTGGGTAATGTTTCCATGTCATCCTGTGTGTGATGGACAGAGGACCCCACAAGAAGAGCTCCCGGGCTCAGGGGCGGTCAGGGTCAGGACCGCCTGTAAACATCAGTGCTCCATGACCTTGTTCTGGCTGGGCCTCCTCGGGGCCTTTTAACTCTTCTTCTCCAAAATTCTTCTGCATAAAATGTGCAGCAAATCTGTCTCTTCCAATAATTGCTTAAACCTGTTGTGAGTGATGTTAGCAAAGTAGGAAATGATTTGCTTCCTGTTTAAATGAAAACCATCATTAGAAACAGCCACTATAAAACATGGCCGTTTATTTCTAGTTTAGAGCAAGCAGTGCATCTCGATAGTTTCCGTGACTAACGTATCTTGACGCATAGACACGTTTTGTGATCCCCTGGAAAAGGAATCTCTTTCACTTTGCAGTTGAGAGAAAACAATTAACAACTAGGTAAATAAGTTGCTTACAAAACTCATTATTACTAACAAAGAACTCATCCAAAAATTTTTGTTAAAAACCTGTTGTTAGCAACGCTAAACACAGGGAAGAAATCATTTGTAAAGTCTCTGCTCTTTCAGATAACAAAAACTTTCTAAAAAATATGATCAAATTTGTATCAAAGCAAAAGTTTTTCTTTGGTCTAGTAAAATGATTGAAGTCCTTGATTAGAAGTAGCTTCATGCTTTGATTTAATTAAAATATTATAATTTTCAGTTAAGCTGGATTTTCCTATGAGGTAAAAATTGATCATACTTTAAAAATTACTATGAACCAAAAAGTTATGTGATACCACTTCATACCCACTAGGATGGCTATCACAATTAAAAATGAAAAACACAGAAAATAATTATTGGTGGAAATGTGGATATATTGGAATGCTTGTCCATTTTGGGGCAGGAATGTAAAATGGTTCATACACTGTGAAAAACAGTTTGGTGTTTTCTCTATAAATTGAACACAGAATTATCGTAGGACCGAGAAATTCCCCTCCAGGTATATATATCCATAAGACTTGAAAACAGAGGTTCAAACAAAAGCTTGTACACGAGTGCCCGGAACAGCATTACTCATAATCACCAAAAGGTGGAAACAGCCCAAATGTCCATCAGTACTAGAGCAGATGCACACGCTGCGGTGTGTCCGTACGATGGACATTCTTCAGCCCTAAGAAGGAATGAAATGCTGGCACAGGTAACGCCGTGGATGGACATTGAAAACACACTGTCACACACTTTGATTCCATTTATATGAAATGTCCAAAATAGGCAAATGCATAGGGACGGAGAGCAGAGTGCTGTCGCCGGGGGAGGGAGGGCGATCAGCTTCCCTGTGGAGATGAGAATGTCCTGGAGCCAGATAGAAGTGGTGGTTACACAACATTTCGGATGCACGAAACACCACTGAATTGTGCACTTTTATGTTGTGTGTAGTGGCCCCAGAGTAAGGGCAAATTGTCGTGCCCACGTTTTGAGGATTTAATTCTCAAACAGTTAAAAATAAAGTGTCCAGAGTAAAATCTGAACAAGGCCCCTGAACAGTTAAGCACCTGCTTACTTTTTTTTTTTTTTATTTTTTGCGGTACGCGGGCCTCTCACTGTTGTGGCCTCTCCCGTTGCGGAACACAGGCTCCGGACGCGCAGGCTCAGCGGCCATGGCTCACGGGCCCAGCTGCTCAGCGGCGTGTGGGATCTTCCCGGACCGGGGCACGAACCCGTGTCCCCTGCATCGGCAGGCGGACTCTCAACCACTGCGCCACCAGGGAAGCCCCCTGCTTAATTTTTAATCTCACCACAGGAAGCGTAAAGAGAGAAAATATAATTAGGGAAGAAATGTATCACCTGTAAATTCAGGTCCAAGACTGTTGAAACTTTCTGTTCCACTTAAAAGTGATGGACAAATTGGAAAAACTGAAAATAATATAATTCTGAGGCTCTGCTTAATATTTTGATTTCTATAAAGAAGGGCATTTAATTTAGCCTCCAGAGTGTATCTGTTAACCACATATGGTTTACAGCGATGCTAAGGGCACAGGGGGGAGTGTTCCAGCCGCTCAGGATGAGCCGTCCCGGACCTCGGCGGGGGGACACAGCACAAGGGCGTGTTAACGACAGTGCGCTGTACATGCAGAAACTTTCTGAAAGGGTCAGCCTCATGTTAAGTGCCCTAACCAGAATAAAATAAAAAACAAAGTAGAAAGAACACTAGGGAGATGTTACTAATTTGGGGCGAACTCCCTAGCGTGTTTCTGTATTTCCGTAGGATGGATGTGGCGGACGCTCTTCGGCCCCTTCTCAGGAGCGAAGGCCCTGCCCCTGACTAACGCTTTCCGGGATCAGGGAGTAACAGGCAGTTGGTGTGAGGCAAAGAGCGCTCCTGCCTAGTAGGCGGCTACAGACTTGCTCTCAGGGTTGCTCGACACGGGCCCTGCAGTTCCTGCTGCAAAGTCTTCCTGGTTTCCTGTGGCTGAGTCGTCAGCCACGTGCCAGACGTAAACCCGGAATTGAACGCGCCGTCCGTGTGAGAGGTTTGAGAGCTCTCCCGCCAGTGGCAAATGCGGAGTCTTTTCCAGAAGACTGGAGCCCGGAACGGGGCCCGTAGGTGGTTTGGGAAATGTCTGCGTTTTTGGTGTGTTCCACAATAGTTCAAACGTTAGAAGTAATTTGTAACCCCGTCTGTACCCTCGTGGAGACCTCGCAAGCTGAGAACTCATGTCACTTTTCCTTTTAGACACAGTCAAACCACAGGTTATGCTAAAAAAATGAGGACAGAGGTCCAGCAGAGCAGTGATTTCTCCTCAGCTAAAACACAGGCTACGTTAAAACCACATGTTGCCGAGTGCTGGCAAAAATGCAGATCAAGACGTGAGGCCTGAGCCTGCCTGGACGTGTTCCGCTTGATGCGCAGGCCCATCTTGCTGGAGGCGGCTGCCACGGGGCTTCCACAGAGTCCAAGATAAGGGTTTCCGGCAGCAGAGTCAGTATTCAGACATGGACACTGCAGGACAGGCAGCCCCGAGCCCTGGAGCTCGTGCCCAAATGGCATTTCGTTGTAGCCAAGAGGTTTTACTACCAAGCAGTCAGAAAGTCACCATCTAAAAATGCTGGGCAGTGGACACGTTTGAAGCAGTATCTCAGTGTCCAGAGGGCCTTCCAGATCTAGACAACTTGTAATTTAAATCTGGAAACACTTAAGAAAAATGGGGAAAGCCATTCCTTTCAACTTCTAAAATTCCAAGGAGCTACATCAGATGACGGTCTAAAGAACTAAGACGTGTGCCTGGGGTGCTGCCTGAGGGCGTGAGGCTAGTGGTGGCAGCCCTGGGGATGTGCTTCCCCATGGTGGACGCAGATTCTGCACGGCCTGTGGTCGTGAGAAGAGGGGCCCCTATCGGGGGTTGGCCCACCTGTGTAACTCCTCCTGGGTCCTGAGACAAGCAGCAGGAGTGAACAGGCTCTGGTAACGCTTCAGATGGAGCAGGCTGGCAGCTCCCAGGCCCTGCCTTCCCGCCATCGCAGGTCTCCACGGTGGGTCTTGGTGTCTGTTTCCTCATTCCTGCCATCCAGAGCTGGGTTAGATGGGCTTGACTGTTTCGGTCTTTCCCTTTTCTACTAGTTTACGGTGTCCCAGGGGATATCTTCCTAAGGAACAGTAGGAACATCGTGCTTTGTATCAAATCATCATGTTGTAGTATTTTCATGTGAATGTGTGGAAATTTGTGCTCAGTGCTAGGACTGATAAAGATATTTGACCCTTTGATCTGATTTACTGTTGGACTTTCCACTTGAGGCAAGAAGCGCAGGAGCCTGGTATCACTCTCACGTCCTAAGAAACTCAGATGCAGAGGAAAGAGGCTGCCGGGTGGACAAGGGTGGACCACAGATGGGTCCCACAGATGGGACCACAGACCGGGTCCCCTGGGCCGCAGCCGAGGGCAGGAAGGCACGTAACCCCAGGGTGCCCGCCTGCCCCCCTCCCTCCAGGGCAGTGCCTTTGGGCTGAGTTTCACCGTGGCTCCTAGACCCGGTCCCCACTTGGCGCGTGGCCTGGCCCCTGTGCTCCGACGGACCTCCTAGGATCCGAGAGTCTGTCTGTGACCGGCAGGCTACTGTCCGTCTCGCATTGTCTGGGAAGCAGAGTCCACATTTCGCCACGGGCAAGCCGAGTGGCCTTTCAGAGCCGCGGCTTCTGGGAGAAAAGCGTCCCTTCCCGCCGAGGCCCGGCCTCCCCACGGGGATCCTGCTTGCTGGCCGGGCGCCCGCCGGGCAGCCATCCTCCGCGCCGGGCCCCTCTGGCCCCAGCCCCTCGCGCGGGCGGTGCCTCTGCAGTGCATCCCGCGGCCTGACTGCCGCCCTCGCCCTGTGCCTCCCCGCAGACGTGTCCAGGTGCGTGGCCGAGAGGAAGTACACCCAGGAACAAGCCCGGAAGGAGCTGCAGCAGGTGTTCGTCCCCGAGTGCAGCGACGACGGCACCTACAGCCAGGTGTGCAACCCGGGGCGGGTTGGCGGGCCTCTCACGGGGCAGGGGTCTTCCTTCCTATCTCAGAGTGGCTCCTCCCGAGGGGGTCGCTGTCACAAACAGGGCGAGTCCTTCCCCGGCGCACGTGCTCCTGTCACGGCCGTGCCGTCCCCCCTCACTGCTGCGAGATGGACCGCGCGGCTTCCTCTAGGCCGGCGCGCGGCTTCCTCTAGGCCGGCGCACGGCTGAGCCTCCAGCTCCGATTCGCTGTTAGTCGCGGAGGAGAGCACGCCAAGGTCACATCTGGTTTCTGGGGTCACCTCGTTAGTCAGTGGTGGCGTCTAATCACCCAGTGCTCTATCTGGAGTGTGTCAATATTGTTATTGCCAATACTATGATTTCTTATTAAGGGAAACAAATTCCTGAAATACTACGCTAACTGACATAGCTTTTGGTAGGAAAAAAAAAAACCACACACAAGACAGGATCTGCTGTGAGCCATCCAATAATGATGTGAGCTCTGTGTATTTTTACAACAATCATTTGACCTTTGAAAGACTCAGGAAGGAGAGAGAGAGACAGAGAGAAGCTGGAGCCATGGGTGGTGTCCACGCTGGCTGGCTGGCGGTGGTGGGGAGCTGGGGCAGTGAAGGGACATCCCGCCGGCAGCCGGACTGCAGTCTCCTGTCTGTCCTGACTCCTTGGTGCCTGGGTTTCCCTCTTGTTAAGATGTGGGCTTGGGCCCCATCGCAAAGATGAAGGATTAGATACTGAACAGTTATGGGCTGACGCCAACCGGCGTTCACTATATAACACCTCTGGTCCCTTTTGTCCCTAAGATCCCAGGTTCCAGAGCATCACAGGTGGTTTGCCGGGTGTTCAAACGCAAGGGCTCAGGAAGCACCAGGCCTCCTGGACCTGCGTTGGAATTGAGGCTGGGCTGCAGGTGGTGGAGGGGGCCTCACGGAGGGTGGGCGCCACTCGCACTGACTGCCCCATCCCATGCCGTCCCTCCTGCAGGTCCAGTGCCACAGCTACACGGGGTACTGCTGGTGCGTCACACCCAACGGGAGACCCATCAGCGGCACCGCCGTGGCCCACAAGACGCCCAGGTGTCCCGGTAGGTCCAACTGAATTTACGAGGTGAAACTGCTACTGGCATTATTGGCTGCTTTCTGATCATCTTACAAATGTTTGCTCATAACTGAAAAGAGATTCAGTTTAGGTGGAATTATGAGGAATGTTGGGAATGGATTTGAATCACTGGACAAAGCCCAAAGTATTATGAAAACTTTTTTTTTTTTTTTTTTGCGGTACGCGGGCCTCTCACTGCTGTGGCCTCTCCCGTTGTGGGGCACAGGCTCCGGACGTGCAGGCTCAGCGGCCATGGCTCACGGGCCCAGCCGCTCTGCGGCATGTGAGATCCTCCCGGACCGGGGCACGAACCCGTGTGTCCTGCATCGGCAGGCGGACTCCCAGCCACTGCGCCACCAGGGAAGCCCGAAAACTTTGTTTTTAAGAGAGCTTAGGAATGGAGGATCTGGGTCTGAACCACAGTAGGTTATGGCAATTCGGGGCTCTTAATGTTTAGAAATAACCACAGGGACAGTGGTCATCAGCGGAAATGAACAAATGGTTTCATTGGCCGAGAAAAGCAAACATTTCGGCGTTTGTATGTATATATTTGCAAAGAAAAAGTGGCTCATTCGTCACAGATCCCTTTCCAGATGGTTTATTTGTGTTATTTTATTACTCATAAGAGGACCTCATATACTGAAGGTAATAATATTGGTAGGAGAAGAATCTATAAAATGGTCTGTTTTCCATTAATATTTTACCAAAAATGTTATAAAAGATTCAGATCATTTGGTCTGCAGCTTGAGTTTTGATTAATTGGTGAGGGAGACTATCAGACCATTTATGAAGAAATTTCATGATCTTTGTATCACAATCACTAGATTAAGGTTACTAGGGGAGAACATACTGTTACGTAACAATACAAAACATCTTCCTGAATTTTCATGCAAAATATTGAAATGTGTATTGACAGTTTACTTTTAGACCCCTTTTCTGTTTCAAGAACAGGCATCTTATAATTAGAAATTCTGTTCATGATTCAGACATTTATACCAGGAGCCAAGGCACAGGTCAGAACTCCTAACTGCCTCAGAACGATGATGTGTGTACCTAATTAGCAGTAACACAAAACCTAATTTTAAGTGACTGGTCATCACTTAAAAGCCAGGGGGTGTGCATAATGTGGAATTAAAATATACTTAATTTTAAAACTGTTTTGTCATCCAAGATCTAAAAATTGCTGTAAATATATTTTCAGTGAGCTTACATTTGCACCTAATAATTCTTTGACAAACTCATGGAGTAAATGAAAGAGAAAAAAATTAGCATAATGAGTTGGCCTCTGTGTGTGTCCCTCACTCTGAAAGTTACTTGCAAATGCTTATTTCAACCAAGTAACAGCATTTTGAGTCAATCTGAGCCTTATTTTACGAAGGAGACAGCAGAGGAGATACCTATTTCCGTGATTTTAGTGACACCTTTTGAGAAATTAAGTAGTGTCTGAAAGAACTTTCTTAGAAAACCATGAGCAAAGTTGGCTGGATTTCTTATAACTTCCCTGTAACACTTTGTTTCTAGAATCAAACCACTGTACAGTTCACTCACATTATTTTTTCCAACCAGGTAGCAGCAATATTTTGCTGTATAGAAATGCTCCACTTTTTTCACCGCCCATGTGGATTTTTTTGTTTCAAGTGATGGGTTATGGAAGAAAGAGTATCTTCCCCTTTGCTTAGAATCTGGTGTTTATTGCATGGAAAATGCCAGCAGGGGCGGGGAGGGCGTGTCTCTGAGGACACTTGTAGTGTGGGCAGGGCAGGCTCCCTCCCAGACCGAGACCGGGCTCCCTGTAGGAGTGCCTCCCTTTTCACCCCCGTGGCTTGCTTTTGCAGCTTGGCCAGAATTATGGGAAAATTCTGTGAATCCCCAGCTGTATTCATGCTTTTATTCTGCAGAGATATGGGTGGGGGAGAGCAGGTGCCTGTGCTCAGAACACGTGTGGAAACTGTGGCTTGCAGGGGGTTGTTGAGAGAATCTTGGTATTTAAAGGGAGAGTGTTGGGAGGACTGAGTGCATGGCACACACAGTGTTTATGATAGACTTTTGTAACACAATGTAACATAACTTCTTCCCAGATATTGACACACCCTCACCAATCTCGTGCAAGAGTGTGGCAATGAGCATCACCTTGGAGAGACTGTGGTTAATAACGTGCATGTCACCTGGTCAGTTTCCATCTGCAAACCCCCAGGGGCATCCTCCTCCCTTCCCTGGGACCCTGGCTGACACCTGCTGGGGCTGATACGCTTTGTCTACTCTCTGTAGAGCGGGAGTGATTTCCATCTAGTTTATTACAAATGATTAACATCAGCAGTCAGCAGTGGTCTTTGGCCCTGGAGTTCGCACGGAGCTGACCATACAAGCACATTCTATAGAAATTTGAAAATCAGAAAAAGATATTAAAACTTAGCAATAAACAATAACAGTCACTTAGAATGCATGTGTGTGTTTATTATGAACTGGTGCAGACACACGTTGCAACAGCCCCTGGGGAGGGCGGGGGACGTCCACTCACAGCTGATTTCCGTGGAACAGAGGGGGCCCCAGCATCCACGTCCCCCCGCCCACTCCTCCCAGAAAGACCTTCAAAGGGAAGGATTCTTTTATTTCACAGTCATGTGTTTTTAAGCCATTAACGCAAAGCACCACATTCCTGTGGATCAGTAAGAAGAACGGGATAATGAGGCCATCTAGCAGAAAAAGACAAAAGTCTTGAACAGGCAGCATTTTACAAGTGAGGAAATCCTAGGGACCAGTGCACATAGGAAAAGGCGCTTGTGCTCATTGGTAGCAGGGAAATGCAAACCAGCCTCCCAGGGAGACTCCCTGACACCCAGGGGAGGGGCAGCAGTGGTGAACCCCGGGGGGCCCCCGACGTGCCATCCGCTTGCCCCTGAAGACGGGCCCGCTTTGGAGCGGGAGGCGTGTGAGAGAGTGTGCATGGCATACTGGTAGTGATGTAACCAGATCCTGGAAGCCAACGAGCGTCCACTGGTGTCTGAGGGAGAGATCACGTGCTTGCCTGGCCCACGGGTAGGACAGGAACGGCGAGAACACAGGGGAGCTGCTGCAGAGAAACGCGGCTCCAGCGAGTGTGTCTGCGTGAGGGGGCCGGAGCCCGGAACACCGCAGTCCATTTAAAATTCAAAAACCAGACAAAATTCGGCTTCAGCTTCAGACTCTCAGGGCGGCGGTGAGGTGTGGAGGGGGGAGAACTCTGTGACGGGAGAGAGGGCGGGGCCTGGGGGCTCCTCCCCCTGCCGGGACGCTGTTTCCCTGGACCTAGGGTGATAAGTCACCGGGCTGTGCGTCTGTGTTGACGCATGTCGTGTGTGAGTGTGATGTTTCACAGATTCAGAAAGTTAAAGTTGCAAAGCCAATGGAAGGGGTAACACACTGATTTAAATTCTCCCCGAGGTTATAAGTTATCTGACATCCTTTCCCGAGGATTTTGACAGAGGGAAGGTGCTGGATGTCTAGGAAGCGGCAGAAGGGGAGGTGGGGGGGGGTCAGGACGGCCCCTTCCCTGCAGGGGAGGGATGGCAGGAAAGAGACTGTAGGAGGGTTTGGGGAAGACCGGTGTCAGGGTTAGCATCTGCCAGGGGATGTGTGGGACGAGCGGGGAGAGCAGGCTGGGAGCCCATGTCAGGGCCGACGGTGGCCGGGCTCACACTCACGGGGCTGTCGTGTGTCAGCATCACGCCCCCGAGGTAGAAGTGGTCTTACCTTCTATTTACAGGTGAGAGCCTGACCCGAGGCCCCTGTGCATGTAAGTGATGGGGCTGGGATGTAAATCTATGCTTTTGTCTCCATTGCCCACATTTTCTGCCAGATACCATAATGTGACTTCATGGGCCTTGAATTCCTTATTTATAAGAAATAATGAGTTGGAATATGTGTAGCTCCCAGCTCTGAGCTCCATGACCACGGGGCTGTGTTGTCCAGGCCCCAGCGAGGTGCCTGAAGGACAAGGAGCGCCACTCCCCACCCTCTGCAGTGACTCCTCGGTGACCCTGGAGCCCACCACCTGCTTTACTCAGCTTCCACCAAGTCAGCGCACTTCCTGGACCACTTGCTCGGGGGCTGACAGGTAATCACACAGATTTTCACAACGAGGGGAGGACCTGCCTTGTCTGTCCTTCCGACCACGGACTCGGACTCGTGACTCTCAGTGGAGCTCAAGCCTTAGTGGGCAGGGAGCTTCAGGGCAGAAATCAGCCCCTTTGGCCCCTGTTGGCCCCTGCTTCCTGGTGACGGGATCATTCCCACACGGCGAGGACCCTGAGAACGGGATCAAAGCAGTCCCTTTAGTGAGCGGCAGCGGCCAGGCCCCGTGACGCTCGTCCCCGTGGCTGCTTCACCTTCCCTCCCTAGAAACCCACCTGTCATTTCTCGTTAACAACCATCTCCATGAGCAGCGCTTACCGAACCTTTGCCAGGCCAGGCGCCCACAGCCGGACACACCCGTCGGGGACCTGGGAGTTCCCTGCGGAAGCCGCGGGCCCCCAGAGGGGGCGACTCACCATCCGGAGAACGCAGGGAGGCGTCTGGAGGAGACAGTTCCCAAAGAAGAGGGGCAGAACTGTCTCCTTCCACTGCTTAGTCTCAAGGGGCCCTGGGTCTGCTCTTCCCCTTACCAAGTCCGGTGGGGGTGGTGAGCAGGGGCTGGAAGGGCTTTCCCTCTTCTGGGGAAGCAGCAGCGTGTTGCCCTGAGACATTATTCAGGACCAAACAACTGCTTTTTGAGCTAAATCCACTCCCAGCCCTGCCCTGCCTGACAGCAGGCGTTCCTGGAGATTATACCCCCAGCCCTGCTGGTCTAGACCCCTGGTCTGCTGCGGGGAGGGGGCTCTTCACTCGCACCAGGGATGCCCAGGAGGGTCTTCCCTCCGTCTTTCTTGCTGCTGAGGGGCCGGGTCCACAGGTCTCCATCCGGGCACAGCTGACTTATATTTATTCTGCAGGGATTTTCTCTTGTTCTTC